TTAAATTACCCCATCATGGGGAAAAGACACCTATTATTAACCCTATCTATACTCCCCATGATTTTAAAAATCTCTATAAGATCACCTTTCAACCTCTTACGCTCCAATGAAAAAAGCCCCAGCCTATCCAGCCTTTCCTTGTAGCACAAATCTTCCGTACCTGGCAACACCTTGGTAAAACTCTTCTAAACCTTCTGTAACAATATCCTTCCTATAGCTAGGTCTTTCCTGCTAAACTTCTTTCCCAGTCCAATGCAGCCAACACTGCCTACATTCCTTTGTAATTATCCTTATTTAAGTTTACTGAGTTATTTCAGACCTAAGTTTCTCACTCTAAAACTGAATTCTAAATTCTACCATCCTATGTTCACTGTTCCCCAGGTGGTGTCTTACACTGAGATCATTTATTAAATCTGCTTTGTTACGCATCACCGGATCCAAAATAGTCTGATTGCTGTTTGGATCCACAATATTACATTCACAGGTTCAGAACATATATGCATCTGTAATTTTACAATGAATGATTTCTATCTTACTGACCCATGACTTTGTGGACTTATGTTGCTGTCAATTCCAACAAAGGAGGTTGAAACATCGAACTGAGTTTGGCAACAGGCCATTAGCAGTGTAAAAAGTGGGTTTCGTTGGAGTTAGAATTTGAACGAGTTTGAACTTGTAAAACTGCACTGTGCCAGATTCAAAGTGTTAACTTTGAATGCCATACTTAACCAGCAATTGATTCAACTTGGATAAGGGCAATAAAATATTTTCTTAAACAAAAATACTTCAGATTTCCCATGTTATAACTTTATGTTCTTGTGTTATGAAGTTGGGATTTGAATTAGAATTTGTTTGTAAAATGATAGGGGGGAACAGTGCGTGGTCCCTTTAAAATGTGTATTTTCTTAGGCTCCAAGATTTAAAAACAATGCCTGCAGGCAGCATCAGATTCACAGAGTTCTTGAAATTGAAACATTGTATCAAAAGGCTTTAATATTAGCAGGCAAAGCAGCACTTTTACCAAGACAACAGGTTTTTGAATTTAGCCATTTAATTTAAGCCAGGCCCAAGAAACCAAAGCCAAATTAAATTTAAATCTGATGGTGTTGACAACCTTGAACCAATCCTATTGTAAGATATTAATATATCATCAAGGGTATAAAAGAAGAGGCCATTTGAAAAATGGTGTGAGAGCAAACTGCCATCTGTTAAGAGAACAGCCCTTAATAGCCACCAGCTCCAAAGAAAAAGAAAATCACTGGCTGTCACAGAAATCTCTAAAATCTCAGAATAAGCACCATCTAAATAAAGGTACTACAGCACTTTTAGCTAATATTCCTGATACAAGAATTCGACAGAGAAAGGCATTCCTGACTGGAGGACAGCAGAAAAGGCCAAGATAATTCTGGATGACTTATCCTGTCTGTAATTTTGAGAGATTAAATTGTAAATTTTTTATTAATTTGGTTTCTATAAGTGGGAGTTGTATCTGTTGGAACAGCATACCATTAGAATTTTGTTTTATTCAGGAACAGATAGTAGTTAAGGGGGAATTGTTCAGTTTGTCAGTAGTTCTGTTAATTTTTTCACTGTTAGATTTAGATAAATAAATTGTTGCTTGTTGATTATAGAGTGACTGTCAGAAGTTCATTTCATTTAACCTCTCCTTTATAACGGATTGGGGAGGGGTGAGAGGCAGATTATACACAGATTTCACACTTCATTCAGCAGATTATGAGGTGATGCGAGTTTCTCCGAGTGTTTCGATTTTAGTTATGTTATCAGAGAGGGGTTGACCTCCACTTCGTAACACTTGTTAGTTTCAGAAATCAGCCAATGAGCATTTTTTCTACAAATCATCATAATTCTCAATGAGTGATTGCAGTTGAACTTTTGAACTCACTGAAATGTCAGCATTGAAATAACTTAATTCATAACCATTCTTATAAGCAAGGTGATAACTATCTTGATATCCGTGATGTTAATTCTTTAAGCACTTGTCAAAATAGATCAATACATTAAAAGCAAAGAATTATCCTCTGTTATGTTTGATTTGTTTGCAACAGACAGAGTAGAACAGATCGATTTTATTTCAATTCAGTTTCAGACCCTCGTAAGTGTGTCACACATGGGACAGTAAATGAGAGATGATATAACTAATAGGAGAAGCATCAGATAGAGGAGAGGAATTGGAACACTATGCAGGAAGAGTGGGAAAAAGAAAAGAAAATTTTGTCGAAAAGAAGTGATAAGAATGGGCAGTGAGAACTGGGATCAAGAAGAGAAACAGAGGAAAGAGTGATTGAAGGAGGAGGAATGAGTGACAAGAGGGAAGAATGGGGTGTGTAAATTAAAGAATAATAGAGAGAATGTTCCACAATGTATTCCACTTTTGAGTATCAGTGTCAAGTGTTTGATATCAAGAAAAAACCAAAAGAACTGCGGATGCTGTAAATCCGGAACAAAAACAAATTTGCTGGAAAAGCTCAGCAGGTCTGGCAGCATCTGTGAAGGAGAAAACAGAGTTAACGTTTCGGGTCAGTGACCCTTCCTCAGAAGTTCTGAAATGTTAACTTTGATATTAAGAAGTTGTGTGATCTGAAATATTAATTTATGGTGTCAGCTGATGTTATGGAACTTGTAAAAATAACAATTCTCAAAGCAAATGACACTGAATGACAGTAGCCAAAATGTTGCAATTGTGAAGAATATAAAATGCAGAGCCTAAAAAGCTCCCAAAGAAAGAATATACATGATCCAGCTCCTCAGTGTAAAGAAGTTACTGGATTTTGATCTTTGATCACCAAAGTTAAAGGAAAAAATTGTGAATGAGGGAAATCATGATGATAATACAAATTCTGAATCTGGTAACCCTTAAGAGTTATTTGGATGACCTTCAAATGTCAAAGATCCAAGAAGCTGCATTTCTGGTGGATACTTGTGATTTCATTTAGGTAATAAATTTTATCTGAACAATATATTTCAAAAAGATATATTTTACCTGAAAGATAAATTTCAGGGGGGGCAATGGCCTCGTGAATTACCACTGGACTATTAATCCAGAAGAACCAGGCTCAAATCCCACCACAGAATATGAATTCACTAAAAATTAAGAGTCTAATTAAGATCCATTGCCAATTATCGGAAAAATCCGTCCTTACTTGGCCTGGCCTACATGTGACTCCAGACACACAGTAATGTGTTTGATTCTTAACTGCCCTCTGGGCAATTAGTAATGGCCAATGAATGCTGGTCTAGCCAGGAACACCCACATACCATGAATGAATAAAAGCAAATTATTACATATGGAAAATAGTCATATGGGAATCAACACGGCAATTGAAGAAATAAAAAATACTCAGGGATGGAAAAAATATTATTTTAGGGAACAAACAGAAGGATGCCAAAAAAAAAAGGGGAAAGGCTAAAATTGATGTGACTACCACATTCTCAAGGGCAACTAGAGATGGGCAATGCTGGCTGGGTCGGCATTTATAGAACCATAGAATCTATGATTCTGTCCCAGCCAGTGGACCCACATCCCAAAAATGAATCAGAAAAGGAAAATGAAAATAATATGTTTCCATTGTAATGAGGCTGAACAGACTAAAGCTAATGGCTGGAAGTTAAATGGGACATCTATAGCAGGAGTCAGAACACTTGAGAAATTCTCAATAGAGGCTGTACCATGAAAGGAAATGGGGTTTTAAAGCCAGAGCAGTCGTAAAGTGTGTTTCCTTAGAAAATACTAGAAGGAATTAGATTGTTCAGGATAGCCAATGATATTCTTCCTTAAATACTGCTAACGAAGATCAGACTATTGGACGTTCTATCGATAGGAACATAAGAGCAACATAGAGAAAAAATAACCTACTCCTTATCCTGAGATTTTGCCCCCTGGTTCTATAGTCACCAGCCAGAGGAAACATATGCCTTGTTTAAATTTTGTAAGTTTCAACATGTGTAGCTCTCAATCTTTAAAACTCGAGAGAATACAGTCCCAGTTTCCTCAGCCTCTCCTAAAATAGCAATTCTAACATCCCAGGGATTAATCAAGTGAATCTCTTTTTATGTTTTATTTTGTATTTATGTTGCCTCAAAAGGAAAGGTGTTCCTTTACTTCTCCAACAGAATAAGTAAACCATTTATGGAAAGGTTTAAAGCTTTTTAGAAAGGAGAGATATTCTTTTACTTTTCTCATTAAAAATACAAATGACAAAAGATGTTAAAAGATACTGGAGCAAGTCAATCCTGGTTGATCATACAATTTGTCTTCCTGAAGGGACATTGAAGAAGAAAGTATTAACTGGAGGTACACACAGAAGTTATAAACTTGTCCCATTGTACACAATTGGATTAAAATGTTACTCAGTAAATTAGGAAATTAAAGTTGAAGAAAAGCATCAAATTCCTATGGAAGAAATTAGTTTTATCTTGGGGAATGTTCATAAGATTAGACTCAGCAAGTGTATTGACATAACCAATTGAAGGGAAAGAAACTGAGAGGAACATCCTGGATTGCTTTCTGACTGTATTGTGAATAGATCTCAGGCCCATAAAATTAGACAGGAAGAGGATGAACTGCTACAATTTGGAGATGGCATGGAAATTCAGTCATCTGTCATTTTATTCAAAAAAAAGTAAAAGGGAGGAAAGCAAAGAGAATGAGGTTGACATGTTTAGCCCATCTTCTTCAATGGAAATATAACAGATGGATCCTGAATTGAGGGAGCTTACTCAGAAATGGAACCAATTATTATTCAAAAGACAAAGTGCTAACAAGGTTATGGAGATCACCTCAAATACCAGCTGATGAGGAATGTTCATCTGGGTATCGTGATGAAATTTTACAAGTGGTTCACAAAATTCCATTGGCAGGTCACTTAGATATTAATGAGATATTAAAACATGTTTATTTGTCAGAAATACATGCTTTAATTTCGCCAGACATACTATATATATCAAGCAAAGTGGAAACTGGACAATCAATTAAAACTCACCATTAATTCTGATTCCAGCTTCTGAAGGAATGTTTAGCACGGTCTTAATAGATCGTGTAGACTGTCCTTGACTTTGCCGTTCTCCCGACCAGCCTGTACAGTACACAAACACATGGTTTGGCATCAATCCATGTAATACAGTAAGGTGGCAACTACAGGATTCACAGCCTAGAAAACCATAGCAATGATGAAGTTCAAGAAAAAGACCTGAAATCATCTGGAGCAGAAATTTTTAAAAAAATAATTTTAATAAGAAATTGTCAGTACAATTTTATGATCAGTTAGCAGCCAGAAAAGCCACAAAGCTCAATAGCAACTGTGAAAGAAACATATCTGAACAGCAACTTCTCTAGAGAAACCACCAGAACATTGGAAGTTTGAACAAAAGTGCCTATCGAGTGATACGAGCAAGATAGTGAAAGGGGAAACAAGTCTTAAAAGAGCAAAGAGAGCAATGAAAGCCTGCAGCAGTTAAAGGGAAAAATCTAAATTGAGTACCTATGAAAAGAAGCCAAATATAGGAAAGCCAGAGCAAGTTTGAGGGAAGGAACAAAAAATAGTTTAGTTTCATCCAAAAAGTTTGGTTGAGGAACATAGTTAAGATTTCCAACAGTGAGTTAACAAATTTCCAAACTATTTACATAACAAAAAAACTAACAACACAGGTTAAAATAATTTTTCAGGTACAGGCTTGAAGAACATGGAGTGGAGAAAAAGCTTAGGAATATATACCTTTGTTGCAACTTGAACTCTCAGGGCCCTAACCGTGAAATTACTGAAATGTAAAATATTTTGATGGTTTAACAACAACTTCAAAGTTTTATTTGATAACTCATGCCTTTTATTGCTTTTGATCATTCAAATACTAAAAATTGGAGAAAAGCATCTGTGAATCTGATCACATGGTGGCAATTTCAATGCGAAAAGACATCAGATGCAGAAAATACATTAGCAAACATCTGTGATGCAATCAAAAGCTCATTGAATCTTAGTGAGTGAAGCTGTTTTGAAAACATTTGTACTCATAGATCTTTGTGTAATCCTTTGTCTCTATGAAGGCACTGTGTTGAAATTGGAAAATCAAAGATAACATTAGAAATAGCATTTTAAACAGCAGAGCCAGCACTCAGTTTTAGAACTGTACCATCAATCTTTACAACAAAAAGTCAACAACAACTCTAAACAATTAAGAATACCACAAGACAAAAAAAAAAGTGTGGTACTGTGCAAGAAGATCAAAATTCTAACAATTATTTTAAAAATCAAGAAGATAATCCAACAACTTCAAGTATCTATCAACAATCAAACAATGCAACAAAATTTACTTATACAAATCTTCCACTAGAAAAGAATCAAGCTTTCAGAAGCATTTGATAGGTCAGTGAAATGGTAGACTAACACTTTGAACATATTCAGCATTAGACACCAAATCAAATGTGGAATGGGTTAGCACTCTTCTCTACTGCATGGGCGGAATATCAGCTCATACATCACACAGACACCACATTGAAGAGAAACAAGTTACACTTGACCACCTCTTAACAGGTTTCGATCAATAATTCACTCCAAGAGCAATTCATTGACATTGTTCATTTTGAAAGAGAGAACAAAAGAACAGATTATTATTTAAATGGAAATAAAAACTGCAGAAAGCATCAACACAAAGGGACTTGGAAGTACTTGTGCATAAACACAGAAAGCTAGCACAAAGGTGCACAGGTAATTAGAAAGGCTCATGGAATGTTGGCCTTTATTTTAAGGGGATTGGTGTATAAGAGTAGGGAAGTCTACCTGCAACTGTACAAGGTGCTGGTGAAATTACATCTGGAGCACTGTGAGCAATTTTGGTCCTCTTATTCAAACAAAGAATTCATTGGAGGCTGTTCAGAGAAGGTTCACTAGGATGATCCCTGGTATGGAGGGCTTGTCTTATAAGCAAAGGCTAAATGGATTGGGACTCTACCCACTGGAGTTTAGAAGAATGAGAAGTGATCTCATTGAAACGTATGGGAATCTTAAGGGGCTTGACAAGGAAAATGCTAAGAGGATGTTGTTCCTTAGGGGAGAGTCTAGGACCAGAAGACATAGTTGCAGAATAAAGGGGCACCAATTTATGACTGAGATTCAGAGAAATTTCTTCCCTCAGAGGGCTATGGGTCTTTGGAACTCCTTGCCCCAGAGAATCCTTCTGTATATTTAAGGGTGAGATAGATAGATTCTTGATCAGGAAGGGAATCAAGTACGGGGAACATGCAGGAAAGTGGACGTGAGCAATAATCCTACTGAATGGCGGAGCAGGCTTAAGGGGCTGAACAGTCTATTTCTGTTCCTATTTCTTATGGTTTTATGGTCATTCAAGGGATTTCGTCATCATTGGCTGGACTAGCACTTTTTGCCTGTCCCTAGTTGGCCCTGAGAATTTGGTGTTGAGCTACCTTCTTGAACCACTGCAGTCCATTTGTTTCTGGTAGACCCACAATGGTGGTGGGGGGGCATTCCAGATCTTGACCCAGTGACATTGAAGAAACAGCAATAAATTTCCAAGTCAGGATAGTGAGGGGTTTGGAGGGGAACTTTTAGATGGTGGTAAAAACCAAAAGTACAGCAGATTCTGTCAATCAGGAACAAAAACAGAAGTTGGTGGAAGCTCAGCAGGTCTGGCAGCATCTGTGAAGAAAAAAATCAGAGTTGATGTTTTGGGTCCAGTTCTGAGGAAGGGTAGATAGTGGTGTTTGTTATGGACCAGATCAAAACACCTCAAATACAATAAGAAGATAGCCTAGACCGTAACATCTTCTTATTTTAAAGGCAAGTATCAGTTGTGTTCTGGATGCAATATGATTGGTCAAATGACCAAATTTGAAGCAAAACACACTTTATTCATACACTATCATTAAAGTACAACAAAAGAAAAAAGAAATTGGAGTAACAACTCTGTTGGAAAACTTAACAGAATAATAGATTATTTTACTACTAAACAATAACTGTTCCAATATAGTAACATCCCATAAACTCGCCCTTAGTGAAAGGCAAACTTCAAAAAAATAGATTGTCTCACAGGTAATTTTCCAGTCCAGGAAGAAAAACATCAAGAGTAAACTCAGAAAGAGAGAGTAGCAGGGAGGGATGCACTGCAGCTTCCAAACCCATCTTCAAAACCCAGCAACTACTACTGTAAACCTGAAACTAAAAGTTCTAGTGCTGAGGGAGCTTGCCCTCCCATTCAGGCTGTTTCTATTGTTTCAACTTCTAAAAAAATGCCAAGGCCACATAAACAGTAAAACTGTTTACTTTTTGGGCTTTCAATAGACAGTTTCATACCTCTGACTTCAAAAAAAAAGGACAAATTGTCCCTCGTAAAGCCATAGTATGGTCTCAGTGTTCCCATGTGTCTGTTACCATTGTCACTCTTGATGGAAATGGTCATGGGCTTGCAAGGTGCTGACGAAGGAGCCTTGATGAATTTCTGCAGTGCATTTTGTATATAGCACTCACTGCTGCTGCAGAGCATTGGTGACAGAAGGAGTGAATGTTTGTGGATGTGGTGCTAATCAAGAGGCTGCTTTGTCCTGGATAGTGTCAAGCTTCTTGAATATTGTTGAAATTGCACTGAAGTGACAAGTGGGTAGTAGTCTACCAGACTCCTGACTTGTGTCTTCGCGATGGTGGATAGGCTTTGGAGAGTCAGGAGGTGAGTTACTTGACGCAGTACTGCAAGTATCGGATCTGCTCTTCTAGTCACTGTGTTTATGTGGCAAGTCCAGTTCATTGAATGCCAAAGGACAGTGGTTACATTGTCTCTTACTGGAGATGGTCTTTGCCTGGTATTTGTGTGGGGTGGCACAGCGGCTCAGTGGTTAGCACTGCTGCCTCACAGCACCAGGGACCCGGGTTTGATCCCACCTTCGAATGACTGGCAGTGTCGAGTTTGTATATTCTCCCTGTGTCTGCTTGGGTTTCCTTTGGGTGCTCCAGTTTGAAAGTTGTGCAGGGTAGGTGGATCGGCCATGCTGGAGTACAGTTCTGCTGCTGTTGATGTCCCACAGCATCTCATGGATACTCAGACTTGAGTTGCTAGATTTGTTTGAAGTCTGTCCCATTTAGTACTGTGATAGTGCCACACGATACAAAGGAGATTATTCTCAGTCTGAAGGTGGAACTTCGTCTCCACAAAGACTGTGCGGTGGCTACTGTCATGGACAAATGCATCAATGGCAGATTGATAAGGATGAGTACAAGTATGTTTTTCCCTCTTGTTGGTTCTCTCACCACTTGCTGCAATTCCAGATTAGCAACTATGCCCTTTAGGACTTGACCAGCTCAATCAGCAGTGTTACTGCTGAGCCAGTCTTGGTGTGCATTTTGAAATTTTACACCCAGAGTACATTCAGCAGCCTTACCACCCTCAGTGCTTCGTCCAAGTGGTGTTCAGCATGTAGGACCATTGATTTATCAGTCGAGGAGAGAATAGTAAGTGATAATCAGTAGGAGGTTTCCTTGCCCATGTTTAATCTGAGCCAGGAGACCTCATGGAGTCTGGATGTCAATGTTAAAATCTCCCAGGGCAATTCCCTCCTGACTGTATATCACTCTGCTGGGTCTGTCCGACTGGTGGGATAGGACACATCCAGGGATGGTGATGGTGGTGCCTGGGATATCTGCATTTATTCTGATGAGAGAAAAACATAAAGATTCAGCAACTTGTCTCTCTTTTTAGCAAAATAATGATGTACATGGAGTTTCAAAAGTGGGTTATTGATGGGCCAGGTTGTTGCATTTTTCCTTTTTTTCACACTCTAGACAATATCATCTGAAATCACAGTCTCACTTACCGTAGGCATACTGACACCACCCAGCTCTACCTCACCATCACTATTCTCGACCACTTTATGCTGTTCAAATTGTAAAATGGATTGTGTGACATTGGCACTGGATGAATAGAAGTTTACCAAGCTAACTAGTTGCCATTGTTTTTGGTTCTCCATAACAAAATTCATTTCTGAAGCCCAGACTCTTTCCCTCTCCCTAGCAACCATCAGAGACTGAAATAAGACAGTTAAGAATCTTGGCACTGTAATTGAGGTGAGTTTATG